TGTGTGTGTGTGTGTGTGTGTGTCAGATGTATGTGAGAGAGAAAGAGAAAGAGAGAGAGATAGGTGCATGTATTTATGTGTGCATGTGTATGTCTCAGATACGTACATGTATATGTGTGTTCTGTGTGTATGTGTCAGATACGTACATGTATATGTGTGTGCACGTGTGTGTGTGCACGTGTGTGTGTGTATGTTTCAGATGCGTACATGTATATGTGTGCACGTACGTATGTGTCCCAAGAGTACGCCAAGTGTTTGAGACAGTGCGGGGCCGTTGTGTGATGCGCTCCGTGTCAACGTTAAGGACTTTCTCACTGGCGTTGTTGAAGGCGCCATGGCCAGTCTGTTTACTCCTCTGTCTCTGTCCTGATTTGTCGTGTTTTGAGTCGTGTGTTTTCTCTTGGTCTTCCGGATCTGTTGTTTTGCTTTGCGGTTTTTTTTTCTGTTTTGTTTTTTTAATTACTGTTTATTGGGATCCCTGGCAATTTTATTTTGTTTCCGTAAATCGCGCCTCCCACTCTGAGCTAAACCCATTTGTCTATCATTGCACTTTTTGAATTTCTTGTCGGAGTAATGTGGTGCAAATTTGGCTAGTGTGAAGTTTTCGCCTTTGGAATGCCCTTTTTATTTTGTTTTGGAGGAGGCGTAAAACCCATGTCTGTGTGTCTGGAACGGCTTTTAATGTAACGTCAGTCTTACGCGAGATATTATTCTGTTATCCTTCACGCGGTTACTGTAAGAAACATTGGACGTTGGTGTGTAAATGTGTAGAAGAAATAAATGTGCATGTGGAACAAAGTCGTGTAAGACTCAGGATAACAACAACATTCGTATAGCGTGTGTTTTGTGAGCCTGTGTGTGTTCAGGCCTGTGGTTTGTTAAACGCTGTCGGCCTGTGGAGGTGCATGTAGTTAGGATGCCGGCCTTTCTCTCAACCGTGTCCCATTCGGTGCGCACTCTGGACGTAAGTGTGTGTGTGGCGTGTGTTTGTTAAACGCAAGTATGACGTACGAGTAAGTGATGTGACGTGTATGATGGGATAAGTTTTGGGCCCGAATGTTTTATATGAATGTCTGGCATGAATGTTCGATGCATACCATACCTAACCACACCACACCGTAACGCACCACACCACACCACACCACACCACCCTACACCACACCACCCCACAATTTACCAGACCACACCACACCATACCATACCACAACTTACCATACCACACCATACCATATCACAACTTGCAATGCCACAATACAACACACCACACCATACTATACCATACCACAACTTACCACCCCACACTATACCATATCACAAATTGAAATGCCACACCACACCACACCACACTACACATACTACTTTCCATACCACACCATACTATGTCATGCTCTACTGTATCATAGCGCACCATACCACTCCAGGGGGCTCCAGTGGCCTTGAGGTTAAGGTATTCGCCTCTCAATCAATAGGTCCCGGGTTCGAATTCGAATAGCGACGGGAAAATTTTCTTCTCTAAAAATTGTCTCCTTTCTCACCCTTTCCTGCTCTCTAACAATATTCTGTCGTCTGCTTCCGTCTCCACTTTCTGCCCCCACCCCCAACCTCCTTTGCCCCCTCCTCTGGGCTACTGGCTTTTTCTGCAGCCTTACTACTGCTACTACTTGGCTCTTTACTGCTGCCTTTCAGCCACACCCTTGATCTTATGGTCGGAAAGGTATACACCTAGCTTTCTCGGAGGTCCTGTGTGTAAGTTGCGCTCATTAAGGATCCCTTAGTGGTCCAAAATCGATAAGAGTAGGGTTCGGCCGCCACCTGAGCAAAATTCAAAATTTCCCACCAACTGAAAATGTTTAATGTGTCCCGCTCGGTCATATGACTTATGCAGTTGCGAGCGCCGTAAAACACTTACCAAAAAAAAAATTATACCACACCATACATATTATTATAGCACACAACACCGCACCATACAATACCATATACCACACCATGGCATACCATAGCATACAACACCACACCACACCCCACCACCCACCACACCACACCACACCACACCACACCGCACCATACCACACCATATCATATGATAGCATACAGCACCATGTCCCACCATACCAGCCCAGATATTTGACTCAAACTCAAACCCACCACATTATTATATTGTTTTCCCCAGCTGGCCGAGGTGACGGCGGACTTGGCCGAAGAGAACACGACGTCCAACGAGGCGGCCGAGCTGTTGGAGGCGGAAACTGCCGAGCGTCTCCGACTGGAGAAAGAGTTAAGGGACTTGCAGGTGAGGAGTGAGGGCTTGTGTGTGT